AAAAATATCTCCAGCTAAATGGAAAATTATATGCATGCTTTATAGACTTCCAAAAAGCCTTCGATAGTGTCTGGCGTAATGGGTTGTTTTATAAATTACTCAAAAATGAAATAAATGGCAAAATCTACAATATTATTAAAAATATGTATTGTAATACAAAAGCATGCATTCGTTTAGAAAACACAATCACGGATATATTTGAGACAATAAAAGGTGTGAGACAAGGCTGTGTTATAAGCCCCACACTATTTAATTTATATGTTAATGATATGAGTGAATACTTGGAAGACAGATCCTCTTGATCAGGTCATACTACATAACACAAAAATTAACTCGCTACTTTACGCCGATGACCTGGTGCTAATTTCAAAAACAGAAAAAGGCCTACAAAATGCATTAAATAAACTGCAAGATTATTGCCAAAATGGAAAATCAAAGTAAATCTTGCGAAAACTAAAATTCTTGTATTCAGAAGGGGAAAACTACAAAGAAATGAACAATTCTATTATCAAAATGAAAAACTTTGCTGTGTCAACTCATATTATTATTCCAATTATCTTGGAATAATCTTTCAGTCAAATGGTAAATTTACAGAAGCTAGAGACAACCTAGCAGATAAAGCAATCAAAGCCATGTATGTACTAAAGCAGTCTTTACCAAAAGAAACAGACTGTAAAACGTACATCCATCTGTTTAATATATGTATCAAACCAATTTTACTGTATGGATCTGAAATTTGGGGAATGGAAAATATGAGTAACATTAATTGAGACAAAACTAAAACAGAAAAAGTGCACCTAAAATTCATTAAACAACTACTTGGGCTTAATAAATACACAGCGAATAGTGCATGTCGGGGTGAAATTGGAGCATTCCCATTGATAACTGAGGTGAAAATCAATATGATTAAGTTCTGGTCTCGTGTCACAGACAAGTCACAAAATAATTATACAAAGATAGCGTTAAGCGACCAGACATTGTCAAAAGCACGATGGAAACATCAGTCAAAAATATCTTGAAAGATGTAGACCTCTCTAAAACATCACAGCTATCACATCAAAATATTAAGAAAATTAGCAGCATTATTAAACAACAATATATAACATACTGGAGAGAGAATATGACAAAAGAAAAAACAAAACTGAGAACATACATTAAATTTAAAATTAATTACAATCTGGAAAATTACATTAATGTTTTGGATAATAATCAATGAATATCAATGCCTAAATTCAGGACAAGTAGTCACAATCTAGCTATTGAAATAAGCAGACATACCAATCCCAAAACCCCATTAGAAAATAGAATTTGTAAACAATGCCGATTACAGGAAGTTGAAGACGAATTACACTTTCTTTTAGTTTGCCCACGATATCAAACAGATATAAATGATTTTATCTCCAATATTTTATTCCCCAAAGAAATCATTACCAACCTGCAAAAATTCACATATTTAATGAAAAGTAATGACAGAAATATAATAAAACTTTTAGGGGAATTTTTACATAAATCATTTATTTTAAGAAATGAGCTTTTTTTGGATATAATACCTTGACTCTTTTTTTCTATTTTTACAATATCATACTTTGATATTATTTTAATCACTTATATATTTATTGCTGTAAACCAATAGAACATTTGTACTTCTAAGGATGCAATAAAGTTATTATTATTATTATTATTATTATTATTATTATTATTATTATTATTATTATTATTATTATTATTATTACCTTGACATTAATTATACCTAGTGCAATGACATACACCACAAGTTGCTTTACTTTCACTTATTCTTTGATATGTCTTATGTTGAGCACATAAAGACAATGTTGAAACAATTTGATGAGAATTCTGTCAATCTGGCTTGTATTTTATTTTTAACTTTTAGCAAAGAAGAAATTATTGCTAATCTAACTGAATTATATAAACATTTATATCAAGGAAGAAATAAATGACTTGCCTAGCTTGTACTTGAAACCCAAACTCATTAAAACTCTTCATTGCTTTACAAAAAAAATATAATTAACTGTCAATTTAGCCTTTTTAACAGAATCGCGAAAACTAGCTTGACTGCAAAAGAATCCCGACTGCGTTGCAGTGAAAACCGCAGCAAAATCACTCCAGTGATTATGCTAATTAAAAGTTGTTGACTAGCATTGACAACGAATCAGAAGGCAGTTATATACGTAATATCTTATCTATGTTAATGTACATGACCTTTCACTTCCTATGTCCGGGCGATTTTGAAAGACTACTTATATACATTGGACATTTAAATCGACTTGTTTTCAGTAAACATGGATGAAAGTATCGCCTTTCCACTTAAAAAGTATCCATCTTCAATCAAATCGAATCAACCTTTAAAAGGTCATGTTTACTTTCACACACCCACTCATGAATAATCAATGGCAACATGAATATTTAATAACAGTGAAATGCCCGCAGATGTGTCCAGTCTGGATTTCTTTACTACGAGAACAATTAATTATTTCTTTTTGTAAAAAAAAAAAGTCCCAACTTTGCCAGTGTACTAGATTTATTGCTGGATCATTTAACCAAGGAGTTATCTAAAATATTAATATCTATTTTGTCTACTATCAAAGAGGGGCTCTAAGAATACTGGATATTTAAAATTCCAAAAATTTAAACAGTTGTCATGCCGCATCCTGTTCGATATGGGACTCATAGCGACATACACAACGCGTGTCAAAATACATTGTTTGTGTACATGAAATTCGAACACGTGCCGCGCAACGACTACCGCTCTTTAAAGTGCCTGTGAAATGGCTGCTATTTTCACGCCTAAAATTATCCATTGATACATAAATATTATTAATTTTTATGTTTCTAAGCATGAATTTTTTTTAAGTGAAAAATGTGTTTTAAACTCAGTCTACGGCAACTTTATTTTTGTGTATTTTAAAACGAGGCTCCTCATTAGCTTCTCATTTGCATACATGGAATTCCCCTTGTTACGTCAGAAGGGGGAGTCGCATGGCAGCTTGCATTGCCGATACGTGTAAATAAGGCAAATTTCTTGTGCAGTTTTCTCGTCTTTGACTATATTGTCACTTATGTACTTGTTCGTCGAGGAAGAATGGACCATAATGAACACATAGTATCAATTTTTGTTGCATGGGGTTGAGTTAGATGCGAAATATGTCCGTTCTGGTGTAGATGGACACCGTGATCGTCACTGAGACCGGCGCACGTTTGTACACTGTTGCTGGACAAAATAGAATTTGATGTTGGAATCATCTCGTTATTTAGCAGGTTACTAGGCACGTCACTACACTGTTTTATTTCATCGATCGTCTGAGTAAAACTTTCACAATTAAAATAAAAGAGAACATATTTTGACATTCTAAACATTAGACTATAGTGATCACTATAAAATAATTAAAAAAAACGACAAATCACAGTTACTAAATAAATGACAGTCGCGTGGAAATAAATTTACATTTTTTTAAATAGGTATTGAAACGCGTCGGGTCACGGCGAGGGCAAGTGCGTTAAAAGCGGCGTTTAATTGGATTACAAAAATAATCGAGATCGACACACATACAGATAAATTCAGAGTGGATTCGAGTTAGCTTGATTTAGTGGAAACACATTGACCAAACCCGGTTTCTTATTTCATAAATTATTACGCAGATCAAGCTGCAAGCATGGAGGTAAAAAAGAACAGAGATGTGAATTCGACATTCAACACCAATCACCCAAACAATTCAGAAACTTTTAGCCTTCGAAAATGAAAACAGTCAGCAGTGTTTTTCTTGCCAAATTTGGCTTGGATATGTGGCTATATTAATTTTAGGAACTTTTATAAAATTCACGTTCCATTATTCTATAAGGGACATTGAGATTAATACAGTACATGC